AGAAGGAAAAAAAAAAAGAAGGTTGTTAATTATAGTTTGAAAGATTTAGCATGGTTGGACGGTATTTATTTTCTTTGATACAATTTTTAAATTTACCTTTATTAAAATTAAGTTAGGTAGGTACAAACATCTCTCAAATTTTAATTTTGATTTTAATAAGTTCTTGTTAACACCTTTTTAAATGTTGATGTGATATATTGAATGGACTAATTCATTGATAATTTAGCATGATGTCACTTGAATTTCGTTTAAAATATATTTCGTCCATTTGTCCAATCAAAATCGTTTTGTTCCATTGCCTTTACTTTACCCGTGACCTGCTCCTTTCTATCATGTTAGCATTTAAGTTATGATATTAATAATAGGGACTTAATATAATGAAAATTGAAAGTCCAAACATAATTAAAACGTCTTTTAAAGTTCGTAGACTTAATAGAAACAACAGGACAATTAAATTTGTAACTTTAACCTTAAATTATTAATTAGAATTGAGAAGATTAAGAATGAGAATTCAAATTTGTGTGGATGATCTCATATATAGATTGACAATGATATGAATTGGTGACATTATTTTCAATCAGCGATGAAGAAAATGAACACAAATTTTCAAAATTGTTTTTAACACATGGAGAAAGACAAAAAGACAAAATTATAATCCAAAAACAAGCTAAAAAAATATAATTATATTGCATCTTCAATACAACTAGAATATTATTGCTAAATATCCAACTTTAAAAACATCTCCTTCTAAAGAATAATTTTGGTCCCTACCGATATGCTATATTTCTTAAAAGAAGTGTCACACTCTCATCAAAAGGAAAAAAAACTCTAAAAATGAGAAAATGATTGAAAAACACCCCAATGTGGTAGTCACTCATATCCATTTATATCTATTTTGGTTCATACCATTTTCATTTTTATAGTATAACACGTGGGGTGAAAATTCGAATTCATTTTAGAATTATTTTATATTTATCCTTAAACTTTTAAAATGTTTATTTTAGTTCCTAAAGTAAGTAATTTATCCCTAGCATAGCTAGAATGGACAGAACCATATCAATTAGTTGATATTAGGTAGTGTAATAATAGTACAGTAATCACCATAAAAGTTATTTTTTGAAAAAAAAAATTTAGGTCGTGATTGGTGAGGACCTATCTTATACTCATTATCATTAAATGTTTGACAACTAAGACAGATGCATGTAAAAACAGAAGACCTTTTTAAAAGAATAATTATGAGCCGTCAAATTTTTAATCGTAGTTCGTATAGAGATAGGAGGATCTAATTATTTTTTCCTTTTAAAAGATTGAATAGGACTAAAGTAGCCCTTTGAAAATTCAATAGAAATGGTTTGTTTTTTTAATGATTTGTTTTTTCCCTAAAGTTCGGAAGACTAAAATAAATATTTTGAAAGTTTAAGAATTAAAATATGAAAAACCCTAAAATTTTAGGACCTGTAATTAAAGTAATAATTTCCAACTAACTCTCATATATCTAAAAAATGGCTTACCATTTTCCGATCACCACAGAGGGCGAGCGGGTGGTAAAGATAGGGAAGTCGAAGTCTGGAAGGAGCTGTCTACGAGAGGAGTCTAAGCCAAGAGCTTCTTCAAAAGGAAGATGCAAGCTTGACGAGGAACGCATTTTCCATCCTTTTGTTCTGAGAAACTTGGGAGGAACGCCATCGGGAGCTACGGCCTGAGCAAAGAAACCGCCGCCGTGGTGGCGGTGAATCTGAAATTGTTGGTATATGTCTTTCAAATTGAAGGGTATTGGCTTCTTGTCACTTAAAACGTCTCCAAAGCAACATGTTGTTATGTCATCCTCTCTAGAGCATCTATATGCTTTTCTAAATGATAGAGACATGATAGAGACAAGAGAGTTAGAAACTTAGAAGTAGATCTAAGATATGTAAAAATAATGAGGAAAAATAGAGAAGGAAGGTAAGGATATAAAGAGAAAGCAAACTCTTTAAGATATATATAAAGAGAGCAAATTCTTAAAGATATATATAAATAATGAGGAGAGAGGGTTTAGATAATGCATAAACAATGAGGAAAGTGGAGCCAATAAAAAAGGGAGAGAGAGATGAAAATACTTTGAAGGTGAATATTTAATAAATTTTTTCCCCACTTGAAAAATATTTTCCAAAATTTCTAATGATATTAAAGAGGTGGTTTTGAAAGTTACGAAGAGCCTTTTTATTAATAGGTTAAATTATAAGTTTTCCACTATTAAGACAGTTTATTGATTTGGTAATTTTGAGCTTTTTAAATACGCCTTTTAGTTAGGACTTGCTTCTCTATTTAGGTCTTATATACTTTAAACACTCTTTTTTCAATAATTTTGTATTTAATAGGTTTTTTACTTTTAATTTTTTTATGCGCTATGTTAACTACATATTATTTTAGGAGACTATTTTTGAGTGAGGTTAGGAGTTTGACAAGCAAAGAAGTAAGTTCAGTTGAGTGTCTTTTTTAGTACAACATGTGGAAGTGGATGATCGAATGTACAACTTCATGGTTGGCGATATATATGTTAATTACCGTTGAACTATGCTCGCTTTTCTAGTGTTTTCAATGGACTGATTTTGCCAGTTTACTCCCTAAATTTCTTCATGTTTACTCACCTATTAAAAAAACCCTTAACCTATCCTATTCCTTTACTTGTCTACCAAATGCTTAAACCCACTTTAAATCAACTTTAACTTCTAAGACTTATTACTCGACGTACAATTATTGGAAGTTGACTGAGGCTATTAGAAACTTTTTAAATTACTTAGACTAAATTAACAAGAAACTTAGTGACTTATATTAAACACTTAAAAAAGGGAATTATAAAATTAGCACAAAAGAGAAGTATATGTAATTAATATATATATTATAAGGTTTAAAATTTTATGAAATGACACAAATTGCAAATTTATACAATCACGTGAGACCAATCAAAATTATGCTTTTTTGGGGAAAAAACAAAAAGTATATACATCATTTGGTTAATTGCTGTCTAAAACACTAAAGACTGTACAAAAAAAAAAAATAATAAATAAATAAATACAACTCTAAAACTTAAAAGGCCCATTAGATAGTACTGTTTCTTCTTTTCTTTTTTTTTAATAAAGAAAATAAAATTTCATGACCTTCAACCTTGATAGATTAATGATAAAACAATTAAAACAATATTTATGTTTCGAAACAAATAGGAATAGAATATATTTCTAAAATTCCTATACCATTTTGACAACGTTTCTAAAAAATAAAAAGAAGAAACAAAAATATTTGTTAAATGTTATTTTTTAATAAAATTAAAAATTAGAAACAAGAAACGGAGTCTTTACCAACCAAACTTACAAGAATTCATTAAATCCTCCCAAAACTCTCAAAACCACCCCTCCAAAAATCATAAAAAAGTTGAAGAAACATTTTCTAAGAAGTTAAAAGCACTTGATCCAAAACACCAAAAAGCCATCTAAAACTAAAAATTTAGAAAGAGGGAGGAAATTAAACCCACCCTTTATGTTTGCCTCGAGCTTTGATAACATAGTAGCGATTGGAAGAGAGAGGACGATCAAGAACAGGGACCAGCCAAACCTTTGTAGACTTAGTGTCTTCATACTGAGAAGAGCTATGAAGAATGGTCAGAATTCTGTCTGTCGGAAATGGCGGCTTCTTTATCTTCCTCCGCCGGCAAATTCCCCAACAGAACGAATCTTCTGCCTCAGCTTCTTCATCTGTCACCACAAACAGCCCCGAATATGGAGCATCCGCCCCCGGCACAGAGAGATTGCTCGGCGACCTTCTAAATAAAGAAAGAGGTCGACTCACAAGCATCTTTCCCTCTCTCGAGAGTTTGTTTTTTTAATTCTCTTTCAGGAGTGAATGAAGTTGGACCAGAGGAGAGAGGATTTTATTGGAGGCTTTTTCTTATGAGTTAAGAAAATGGATGGTTTTGGATGGTTTTTTTTTATATGGGTTTTTTTACCACTTTTGTGCCTGGACTAATCTGGCTCAAAATAATCGCAAATCTAGTACAACTAAAAAATATTTGTAGGGTATGACTCGACTAATGTCGGAGGATAATCGTTTGATCTACTATATTTGGTTGCCAAGGAAATTTATAAGATATTAAATCTTTGGTAGGTGGCCACCACGATTTGAATGTATTCCCTCTAAATTATTTACAATTTGTCTTGACCTCCTCACTAGATCAACGGACGAACTCATGATAGTTTATGATGGATACTAATAGACGTGTTAGAGACTCTATTATTGATGTCTACTATGTCAACAGTAGACATATATAGACGTTGTCCTACAAAAATATCATTTTGCAGAATCTTTATTATGGTGCTATATATTTGCAAATATGGCACCAAAATATTTGCCATCCTTACATTTTTTTTCCTTTGGGTGTGATATAGTTTTTGGGATGAGAAATGGAAAAAGAAAACAAAATTATTGGTGAATGGCAACACTCTTGTTTTTGGGTCTGATAAAAGAGGATATAATAATTAAAGTTGAAGATAATAAAGAACACCCCACTTTGTTTTTTCACTTTAAATAGTCTTTGATACGGCCATGCTTGGTTCTTTATGTGACCTACGGATATATTTGCCCACTTTTGTTTGGATGTTTTCAAGATCTGCTAGGAGATTTGGAAGTAAAGGGGAAAAGAAATCAAGATCTCACAAATGAAACAATCATATAAATTGTAAAAAAAAAAAAAAAAATTACATTTCGAGATGATGTAAGTTAGGTGTTGGATTTGTGGAGCCTAATCATTAAGGTTGGGTCGGTTTGAACGTTTAAAAACCCGTTCAAAGCCTGATTGGAAGTTCACTAAGCGAAAAGAGGTTGTTGAGATTGTAAGGAGAACAAAAAAGGTTCCACATAGAAAGAATGATCCATGATATATAGGCGAAGACAATTATCTCAATTCTATACCACCTTTTGGATGAAATAAAAAATAAAATGACAATTATCTCAATTGAATACAACCTTTTGGATGAAATCAAAAGTAAAATCGTGAAGACATGTGATTCCTGTAAAGAGAGAAAAGAGATTATATTTTTCTCTATCTAATTAGAGGTTTAGCAAGTTGATTTATGTGTCAACCTTGCTAAATTATAAAAACAATTCTCTTTAAGGAAATAAGAGAAATGACAGCATAGGTTTGTGGTCATTTAATGAGATTTAGAGGCTCGAAATTAGGAAAATGATAGTAAATGATTACTGTCATTAATTCCAAAAATGCTGTTAAGAATCGAACCATCAACAACTCGGAGAGCATCAATCGCGTTCCCACCGCGCTCACGTACGGCCTGGCTGGTCTGCCAGCGGTAGTGGGAATTCTCCCGTTTCTTGATAGATTCCCGTCACCAAGTCATCGCCAGTAATCCGCTCTTATCCCTTTCAAACAAAGGGCGAGTTCCTTTCTTGTCTTGCCATAAGGGGCAAAGAGAAGCGCTTTTGCTACTGAGAAAGCGAACGGTCAGCATGAAGGTTCAAGACTTAGCCAAGCGTTAGCGAAGCTAGATTCTCATAGCTGTAGCAAGGGAATTTAGGAAATTATATTGGATGTTCATTTTCTTTCAATATCGTCCCTCACACTAGAGTGCGGTGAAAGTTGAACTCCAAGTTTGCATCTTAGCATTTGAAGAGGAGCCTTAGGAAGTGGCTTAGTGAAAATGTCTACAACTTGGTCTTTGGATGGAACAAAACGTGTGATGAGAGTGTCAAGAGCCACCTTTTTGGCTCTTCACGACCAAAGTGGTAATGATCTAGCTCAATTTGTTTGGTCCTTACATGGAATTTTGGATTGATTGTCATGTGTAAAGCACTAATATTGTCGCAAAATAGTTGAGGGACTTTTGAGGGACTTTGAGAAGTTGAATGCCAATGTCTTTTATGAGGAAATGATCCATGTGAGTTCCGTTAAAGATCCTACCTTGATAAAATAAGGGACCTAATAAGAATTTATAATATAAGTGAGCTACTCCTCTCATTACTAATTGGTTTTGAGATGAAACTTCAAGAATATTAATATGGTATCAGAGCTCAAAACGCTCAAACAAGTGTTCGGTCAAAAAAATGAGACCTAGCCAAGATCAATGAGCCAAAAAAGCCACGATTTTGAGGGGCATGTTAAGGATCCCACATTGAAAAGATAAGAGATGTAACAAAGGTTTATAATAGACATCAGCTACTCTTCTCATTGCCAATTGATTTTTAGATGAAACCTCATGGACATTAATATCTTATCAGAGCCCAAAATCTAAAATTAGATTTGGCTCAAAAGAAGCACCATCTTAAGGGGGTATGTGTATGAATGACTTCGTGACTTATGCGCCAAAAAAAACTAACCCCATAAAAATGATTAATACAGGCTACAATAAGTACACAAACCCTCCTCTCCTCTCCCTCAATCCATCTCAACTTCATGATTTAAAGCAACTATATGTCACACCTCAAACTCGAGCAACTTAAACACAAAACTCTCCTTAAGATTACAAGCTTATATCATACCTATGCATTATTTGATGGTTCAATTCCAAGCATTAGTAACAAAAACTCAAGCATAATTCCGAAGCATAAGTCATAGTTCGATACTAGATACCATAATTGTACGATAGCCACATAATTGCGAAACACGACAATTATTAAATCTATATCTTAACTAGCTACCATAACTGCAAGATAGTCATACAACTAGCATAAAAACTATATGCATGTTACGAGAAGGAAGTGATTCGTACCTATCCAGACAACGTGCTTGATTGGCCAGAGTATTGACTTACAAAACTTTTGAAGAAGTTTTTGAAGTTACTAAGATCTCGTTGATTGCTGGCTAAGACTTCTTAAGTCCAGCTTAAGCGATCTTCAGTATTGTCCAACCGTTCTTTAGTTCCCCTCAATTCATCTTTATTCTCCCTCAATTCATCTTTAGTCACCCTTAATTCTTCTTTCATCTAATTTAGTTCCTCCATAACCATTAGTTCAATGGATGAGCCTCCTCTTCTCACTCTCGGTGTAGGACACAACCCCATGCTTAAGATGAATCCAAATCGAGGATCAAATATAGCCCGACAACAATCTACTTATGTTGGCGGATCGATCCCTTATGTTATATGTGCGTCCCTCATGTCCTCTAATGCCTTCTGCAAATATGGGTTATATACTGTGCCACAATACTTTAATTTCATATACTCGTAATTGATAATTGACAAATTAAAACTTACATGTGTTGCTTTGGCACGAGGGTTTACCCACCCTTTTTCAGGATTATATCTCGTCTCTTTAAACATTTGAATGTGACCAATCCTTCATACCGTTTTTTTCTACATTTCACATGAATTACATCGGTCAGTGTAAAACAAAAGTAATAGTACGTGTAATAATCAATTACGTATAATTACCAGTTCTTGTTGCATGCGGTCGAATGTTTTAGACCCGACTCGATCATTGTAAGTGACCTTTGACCTACTACTTTTGTTTGTCTATGACTTTCCTTATGAATGAAATCAATTGACGATCACCACACAATTTAATATGTTACTTAAAGTTGTAATAAGGAAAAATGAGAGCGTACCTTCTGTTTGGGGAAGAGAATACCCTGGACACGTGGAGGACCCCTATTGGTGCTCCAAGATGACTCATGAGTCATGTCCAGCTCGGACCGCCGAGATCACCACTACTAGCGTTGACATATGCTAAGTATGAGGGCCGAGGTGAACCTGGCCGAGGTCCGACCTACCGGGAAGCTCGGTAGGGGCTGATGTGAGCTACTGTCAGCGGCGTGATTATCGGGTGTAACCGTCGGTCCCGAGATTACCGGGTGTAACCGTCACGAGATTAGCGGGACTATCACCCATAAGTAGAGGACCTCACTCCACGATCAGGTACGATGATTTCCGACTTCGAACTAAACTTGGAATCCGACCTATACTGACTTGATCGTCGGAGTGCTCACCTTTTTGTGCAGGTCCGCCCAAGTATTCAGATCGATCCGGAGGCCGAGTTCGAGCTGCAATCTGAAATACATTGTTGTGCATATCCTTGCATAAACATTTGGCGCCGTCTGTGGGGACGACAATCTAAGTCATCCCAATCCCGTTAAACCAATACGCGAGCGAAAATGGTGCAACCAGAAAACTCGACCAATACGGCCGATCGAAGAACTCTAGCTGCCAGCAATGCCCACCAGAGGGAGGTCGGAGCAGCAGTGGTAGAGGGGCAAGGTCACGACGGCCTAGCAACAGAACCCCTCCGCAGGTCGGCACGAATCACCGCGCCTGTCCTACCACCTGCGCACCCCCCAAGGACATCCAAGGCCACCCGTGGCCGAGGTGGAACCTCTAAGAAGGGCGCCCGGGGTCCAGCCCCGGCCCC